GAATGGGAAAAGCCGGAATCTGTAAAACCAGGAATGGGAAAAGCCGGAATCTGTAAAACCAGGAATGAGAAAAGCCGGAATCTGTAAAACCAGGAATGAGAAAAGCCGGAATCTGTAAAACCAGGAACGAGAAAAGCCGGAATCTGTAAAACCAGGAATGGGAAAAGCCGGAATCTGTAAAACCAGGAACGAGAAAACCGGAATCTGTAAAACCAGGAATGGGAAAAGCCGGAATCTGTAAAACCAGGAACGAGAAAAGCCGGAATCTGTAAATAATAATAGATAATAAATAATAGTAAAAGGAACAACGTAATTTTATATTTGTTCGATTTAGCATTTTTTTATAACCAGCAAAAAGTCTTAGATACGTCCGGTGATTCATGATCGAAGACACCTATTGCGCGCAAATCTTAGCGAGGTACAGATTTGACTCCCACTAACCACTACCATTAAGGGAACGTGATCCAATCAAATGCAAAAGAAAGGTAGTGTAGTGGTAGTGGTAGTAGAAGTCAAATGTGAACCTCGCTAATATCGACAATCAAAACGAAACAAACATGATGCTGTCTTCGTAGACGTCCGACTCGCGATGAGTTGGTTCTATTTATAGCTCTCCTGTCATAGACTCATAGTAACAATAGGGACCTTAAGCATGTAGGACGGCAACACGACGACGACGTGGTTGGAATACTCCTTTGAATTAATGTTATGATAAAGCGTTGTTGTATATTATTAGTGTACCAGTTTAATGAGATATAAGACGTTGAAAACATTGTGTTTACGTTTTTAGGGACAATTCTATAGAGCTAATTCGAGGTGGCGCACACTGGGTCCTGAAATGCAGACGTTCTACATAGGACGTAATAATAAACGACGTTTTGCCGTTGTAAACAGAACGTAGATCACGCGCCTAAAACTCCGATAGGTATCTAATAATTCATTTCTTTTCAATGAAGCATTGTATTGATAGCTGCCGTCGTCGTGTTACCGTCCTACATGCTTAAGGTCCCTAAAGTCGGGTTGTGTCGGGTGATGTAATTTACATCGTGAGACATATGATAATGATCATATATATGCACAGTTGCTTTAAAGTTTTCTTTTATATATATCGAGTGTTTTTCATATTTTTGTAAACGTATATACTGTATGAAAACGGTCGCTGCATAACAAAACGTGTTTCTGGACTTGAGTCTTTTCGTTAAAGGTATTTTGGCACCATGAATGTACTACACGTGTAAGACGAGCAACATGTTATTTCTTCAACAATAATATCTTGTTTGAGAAATTGGAATGTCTGTTTTTGGACGCTTTTCGTCGTTAGTCGAACGCACAACAGACGCTGAGAAGAATGTCAGTGAAGTTGATGGTTTATCGTGCTTCAAATTTACAGATTTGGTGAATACTATTATTTATTATCTATTATTATATTATATTCCTGGTTTTACAGATTCCGGCTTTTCTCATTCCTGGTTTTACAGATTCCGGCTTTTCCCATTCCTGGTTTTACAGATTCCGGCTTTTCTCGTTCCTGGTTTTACAGATTCCGGCTTATCTCGTTCCTGGTTTTACAGATTCCGGCTTTTCTCATTTCTGGTTTTAAAGATTCTGGCTTTTCCCATTCCTGGTTTTACAGATTCCGGCTTTTCTCCATTCCTGGTTTTACAGATTCCGGCTTTTCCCATTCCTGGTTTTACAGACTCCGGCTTTTCTCGTTCCTGGTTTTACAGATTCCGGCTTTTCTCATTCCTGGTTTTACCGTTCCCCGTTCCTTTCCCCATTCCTTTCCCCGATTCCCCGTTCCTTTTTTTACAGATAGCCGAAGTTCAATTGTTCAAAAATGTAAATAAACCGCATGATACATTCGCTTTGTCTTACACTTTGCTTTTGGAATAGGCGCTTATATATTATATTTTCAATCCTGTGCAAACTACGACGTGTCAACGCGCCCATACACGACCACATCTTATGTTAAACGGCGAAATAGCAGCGATATTATTAAAATAGGACCAGAATCTACATGTATTAAATATATTCTTACCCCAATTCAATCTAAACTTAGTCGAACAGCATGAAAACAACGGTATATTTGTTCCTCTTGGAAGAATTGCCGTATCATGCGAGCGAAATCGAATCGCGCATCGGAAAATTAGCCAAAGCTGTACTCCACAACTCTTGGGAGATAAGACTGGGACGTAGATAAATACGGTTACATACACATTTCAAATACTAGAATGGTTCGCGCCATTTCAGACTTGCGACGACGAAAAATAATAAACAAACAAACAAAAACAAAACATAAACCGAGGCGAATTTTCAACTCCGTCGCTGACGCCGGAGTAATAACGTCACACTCTCAACCTGTGCGGAAACTACGCATATCTTTGGCATGGTAGAAAACGCGGGTAGCGGACTACGGACTACGGATTACGGACTACGGATTACGGACTACGGATTACGGACTACGGATTACGGACTACGGATTACGGACTACGGATTACGGACTACGGATTGCGGACTACGGATTACGGAGTAAGGATTACGGACTACGGATTACGGACTATGGACACAATCTTTAAAAAAATGCGAAGATGTTGCCTTCACTCAATAAAACATTTTGGCATTTTTCACATATTTTTTCAGGCTTTAGGTAAATAAAAGATTTTAGCAAAATTTCAGCATAGGTCACCAGACAATTTGATAACATGGCGCTTTTTTGTGAAAATTAATGACGTTAGCAATAACTAGGATCCTCGTTACGCGTAGTGACTATGTCACGCAGCTAGGAATTTCATGTTTTTGGTGCGCTTTTATAGGCTTGCTTTCTCGGCAGTGCAAACTGTTACGCAAATTATTGATTTGGAGCGGTTTATTTGGGACTTCCTCGAGATAACACACGATCGTTTTATGTATCAAACCACCTTTTAAACGATTTCAATTTGCACAGAGTCTTTATTCATTACTTTATGAAAGGCTATACAGCAACATTTAAACATGCAGTCGCCCATAAATATTTGCATGTAAACGTGAACGAGAATAAACGCAACACAATGTTCATGTAAATAAAATAAAAAACGGCGGAAAGCACATTCAACAAATTCCATACAGTTTTGCTATAATCCCATATCCCGGCTAGCACAATCACGTTGTATTAGCGTTCGTCGAACGTTTGGATAACGTTATTCATTAACGTTGAGTAACGTTTTTTTGTGAACTCGTAGGAACGTGGTATCAACGTTAGGATTAACGTTACAGCGCGACTTGTCGAAGCCGTTTTGTCAATTTGCTAGAAATGTTTTAATCAATGTCAATGACATAAAATCTACATATATGCACAGGCTGGCGAACAATCGCTCAGATGACTATAAGTTATCCGTATTCGCAATCTCGCAAACGAAGTTGCAGGAATTTTCAAATACCCCGAAATAATTCACGTTGTCTCAACCTTGATATCCAACGTTATCTTAACGCTGGTTGAACGTTTTTTAAACGTTGGCCGAACGTTGGCGCCAAACGTTGGCTGAACGTTGCATTAACGTCGGACATTAGTTTATATGAACATTGATTTGAACGTTGTACGGACGTTGTATTAACGTCGCGCAACCTCGTACCCAGGGTCTTTACTCGTGGTCACGAGTAAAGACCCTGGGTACGAGGTTGAACGTCGCGCTGTAACGTTAATCCTAACGTTGATACCACGTTCCTACGAGTTTACAAAAAAACGTTTACCCAACGTTAATAAATAACGTTATCCTAACGTTTGACGAACGCTAATACAACGTGATTGTGCTAGCCGGGATATGGGATTATAGCAAAACTGTATGGAATTTGTTGAATGTGCTTTCCGCCGTTTTTTATTTTATTTACATGAACATTGTGTTGCGTTTATTCTCGTTCACGTTTACATGCAAATATTTATGGGCGACTGCATGTTTGAATGTTGCTGTATAGCCTTTCATAAAGTAATGAATAAAGACTCTGTGCAAATTGAAATCGTTTAAAAGGTGGTTTGATACATAAAACGATCGTGTGTTATCTCGAGGAAGTCCCAAATAAACCGCTCCAAATCAATAATTTGCGTAACAGTTTGCACTGCCGAGAAAGCAAGCCTATAAAAGCGCACAAAAAACATAAAATTCTTAGCTGCGTGACATAGTCACTACGCGTAACGAGGATCCTAGTTATTGCTAACGTCATTAATTTTCACAAAAAAGCGCCATGTTATCAAATTGTCTGGTGACCTATGCTGAAATTTTGCTAATTTTTTATTTACCTAAACCCTGAAAAAATATGTGAAAAATGCCAAAATGTTTTATTGAGTGAAGGCAACATCTTCACATTTTTTTAAAGATTGTGTCCATAGTCCGTAATCCGTAGTCCGTAATCCGTAGTCCGTGATCCGTAGTCCGTAATCTGTAGTCCGTAATCCGTAGTCCGTAATCCGTAGTCCGTAATCCGTAGTCCGTAATCCGTAGTCCGTAATCCGTAGTCCGTAATCCGTAATCCGTAGTCCGTAGTCCGTAGTCCGCTACCCGCGTTTTCTACCATGCCCATATCTTTGGAGAAATCCGACAGTTTCCGACGTCACGCGTGGGGTCCACGCGATGCGTGATTTTGCTGCTATATGGGGAGGGGAGGGGTTACTTACTTGAATGTTCAACATTCTTGCATGAATGCGAACAAGTCAAGATACGCGTTCGAAATTTATACATCTCTTTCGGTTAAAAGTCTTCTGATCAATTAGTATAGTCATCTAATGTAAAATGTGAAAAAAATATTTTTGACAACTTACGTTGAAGCGATAAACATGCTGAAACATGCTTTAAAAAACGTAGACAACACTTTACTTCCTGGTTGCCCATGCAGCGTCTGCTGTATTCGAGGCAAATTTACATATTGTTCTAACCTGCTCTGACACACGCTAATTTCATCATATTTCTACACTAGATAAATGCCAATAAATTTCATAATCTAAAATATATAATTCATAATTTGAATCTTACCAGAGCAGACAGGAATTGAGGAACCGTCTGCAGAACAACCTTTTCCCAGCTTTGTGCCTGAAAAATAATCAGAACTTCCCATGCTAAATTTCGACCTAAACATCGCCCGACGTCCATTCTCAAAATTCTATTTATATATGATTCTATATTTTTCAATTTAAATTCACCTGATGAGTGTGGCAAACACTGCTTATTATACGAAACAAATTTGTTGTGAATAAAATCATATGAAGTAAACCAAGTTTATTGTATTTTATATCGTCTTATTAGGTCTATACTTTGGTCAAGCTTGCGATGTTGTACTTTGGTATATGGAGCACTCTACTCATGCTATATAATATAATATAATGCATGTACATTCACTGAATCGCTACACTAAAATACGAATGACAGATTTCCCCATGCTTTAGTTTGACGTACCTGCACAGTAAGCAATATGACAGCTTGAAGGCTCCTTCAGTTGATACAAAAAGAAAAGTCCGCAGTTTATCACTTTAATTTTATATTTGAGGCCACAGTCGAATGGATAGGCATGTGGAAGTGGTGCACACGCCATCCTGTCTACCTCGACGCCAACTGTAGATGGATGATTTCCTTTCAGCCAAATGGGGACGTATGTTCCGCAACTATTTATCCCTGGATTAAACTCGGGCATTTTGTCTCCGGCGTCACTCTGAAATCGGTACCACGATCCATCTTTGATAAAACCACGATCGCACAATCCAGTCGTAGCCTTGTACGCTGTACTGCGACGAATATTATTGATCGTGGTATAGTTTATATGACCGCAAGCACCATTTCCCTCTAGCACACCAAAGCAAAACAGAAGAAATAAGCAGTAATACACAGCTATTGATGCCATTGCTAGGTTTCAACTTTCAACGCAACTGAAAATGGATTGTTTATATAGTGTTGTATTAAATTACATAAATACTCAGGCGTCATGTGATTGCAGAAAATTGCACTGCGCGGTTGCAAAACTGCCGGGTACAGTCGTCACGTCACGGACTCACGGTCAAAACGAAATTCCTCATTGTTGTCGCCGTCCTAAAACTACGCTTTGCTTAATAAAGGTCGCTATTACCCACGCGGGGAAGGGTTAAAACGCTGAAGCTGAGGCCCCGTCCACACGATGCCGGAAGAATTTGAAAACGCAAGAATATTCTTACGGTTACGCGTATCGTCCACACGTACCGGCGTTTTCGCCCAGTGAAAACGGAGAATCTGAAAACGCTCTCGAGAGTGGAAGAATTTGAAAACGACGGCTGAGCGGATACGTGTGGACGGCTTTGCCGGATAAATTTAAAAACGATGACGTCACGCATCAAGTCGTTTCCATATTAATGAGGCTTTTTTCAAGTCTGGTGGCTTATGCTCGACTTTATATTGCTATATTAACCTCAAATAAGTCTTATTTGGGTTATTTTCATAGTGAGTAAAATTTTTGCCAATTCTTTTAGCATTTGCGGAAGTATTTTATGAGAGAAACATATCCAAAATGTCGGAGTATAACCATACACAATTTCTTATACACAATATGCATTTGATAGATACTCAACAACAATATTTATGAGTTCGGGCTTGTCGTCTGTCCAAACAAAGTCCTCATTCTTTTTTTTTACTTTGGATTTGGTAGATTTTTGCTTTGAATTCGACAACCAACCTGTGACACGCGGGTGGAAAACATGCAGGTGTGTTGCGGGATCAAATAACTTTACCGTTTTCGGATCGTTTTTGTGTTTACGTGTGGACGCGGATAAATATTTTAACGGATAAAAATTTTTGCTATTTCAAATTCTTCCGGCATCGTGTAGACAGGGCCAGAAACGGAAAACTGAAAGCGGAAACTGAATCTCCTCATATAACTTCGAACTCAACTTTATAAGCGCATTGGCGCTATCTATTCATACACGGCTAGGCGAGACCACAAAAAGCTGTTTGCCATTACATCGATTCCAAACATCGATTCGTCCGCTCGGTCGATGCGGACGTAATGGCAATTGGCAAACCACCTTATGACTTATATATACGACACGCGTGGGTTCATCCTAATAATATTACAATTCTTTGAAATTGTCCGGTGCTAAACAATGCGTTTTATAAAATTTTCGTTTAAAAGACACAGACTTTGTTGTTTAGAACACGTCTAAAATCTGCTTTTATTCCGTCTCATACGTTGCATCCATATCCCCATTTTTTTATTATTTTCTGACATTTATTATGCAAATCAAACTGAAGGCTCATATTACAGTGTCTACACGAAAGAAACGAAGCATCGAAGCAGGGTCTCATATAACCAGGAATTCATAAAAATTACGCTTTATATCAACAACAAAACTACATAGATATGGATGCGATTTGTTCTCAGTTACTATATTCCGTGAGTTTTCTACTTCTTGTTTATCGTAGCGAATCAATCTCAAGTAATTGTTATGGGACACACTACAAAATCATAAACGATCTACGTCGAAGCACAGGCTACGTGTCAAATAATTCTAAAGCGTATCTTTGCGATAGACAGCTGTTGGAGAACAACGCTTGGTATCGATTTTCTATGGACAGTGAGGGAAAAATGCCTACGACGAAACCAAAGGTCGGAAGTTGTGGAACTTATATTCCTATGTGGATGAATGGCATCCATCCCACTATCCACGATGGCATTGTTCTAAGGAAAGTATGTGCAAATTTGCCGCACGTTTATCCATTTGGTTGCGGTTATTCCCTCAGAATACGTGTTCGTAATTGTAGTGGATACTACATATACCAGCTGAAGGATCCTAAAAAATGTTTTCTTGCGTATTGTGCAGGTAAATTACGATACATGTCTATGTATTTTTGCCTTTTTGTGGTATACTGTATTATATGTATTATATGTAAATGTCCATATTGTTCGCAGTTCGCGTTTATATTAATTCGATATGCTCACTTCATTTAAATGTCTAATTATATGTTTTCGAAGATTAGTACAGTCGAAATAAAGTTTAATTTTAATCTTCTAGAAAGCCGTGTTGCACAGCAACTTAATAAACATACTAAAACAGGAAGTTCATGCCAATCATGAGAATCGCTCATAACAAAAGTACGAATATAGTCGTACAAGCTTTGCATTTTGCAAGCACTTGTATGCAAACTCATTCAGATTTTACTTGCTTTAGTTTAATTATTCCATTTTTGGGTACTAAATGTCCAGTTTAACAATTTTACAAATCTTTGAGAAAAGCCTATCTGCTTGAATGTGGGTTGCTTGATAAGCTGACAATATAATTATTACAAAATGGTATACAATAATATACCTACTCCTAACTGGAGAACAAGATCTATATTTTTCCTATACTAGTATATACACAATTATAACAAAAAGAACTCCTTATATTTTGTTAACTGTACATCTAAGCACAAATTTATCCCTCTGATTTGCTAACACACCATTCAAACCTCCATGTAAGATTAAAGAGGGGGAGGAATATCTGTTGTACTTGAATTTTGCAGCATTATAATTAGCACTATTTGAAATCTTTTCTGAAAATTTGGCTTTATGCTGATGTCTTTTCAAACTGGCTTGTTTTAGATACATTAGCTAGGTTTTTCTAGTGTTTTATAATTATTTTTATGATACATTTTAAACTGCAACTAGTGAATTTAATTGCATTTCTAGTTCCTTTAGAGGGTTCAGATTTCAGAATTTCCTGGAAAAGCATACTATTGCCCACTCTTACAAAAGGTTCACACATTTAGCATTCACTAGTTTCCCAAATCCAAAACCTGCTCTGTGGTCCTTGTTAAGTTATCCCTGCCAGAAGCAATGGGAATTGTACCATAAGGTATACTTCTGATGAACGAAACACAATGTGACTATATTAAAATTTAAATTTTGTTGGTAAGTCAAAGCCTTGTTCCCATATGATGCCAACACTGGCAAATTCCATTATTGGCGATTAATTACTGATGTGTATATGTATTTATTTTTTTCCTGTTTAAATCAATTCATGATTACAAACAATTAGTCACAGCTTTATGGATGGAACAATCACATCAAAGGATTCTCATATTGATTAGACAAAAATGTTTTCCTAATCTGAATCATTTTGTATTTTGCCTAATGGTCTGAGAGATAAAAAACAATCAGCACAACATATCATAACTGGTAGTCTTTAACAAAGATACAAATAAAATAATTAAGTATAAATTTACAAGTGGTAGCCATGACATCATTTTTTACACTGTTATATGTACCATCTCACAATGTGTATGTTGTGTTATATTATATAATACCCCATTAAATTTAGAGCGTTTAATTGGTTGATGACGATCACATGATATTGAATAGAAAGTCCCATTTCCCAAGAGTGCAATGGAAAGCGTTCCATTGCACTCTCCAGAATGCAATTGTACTATACATTTTGTTCCATTGCACTCTTAATGCTTTCAGTAAATACCATCCATCAAAATGCTTCTCACACATATGATTGTTGATCCATGCATACAGTATGTTTTTTAATAAATTATATTTTTGAAACGAGACAGTCTATTTTGGTATTATATAAAACAAATAATGAATGTTTTCATTCGTGCAATGGTAAAAATATTTTCACTTGGTGAAAGATGGAATGTTCCATTCAACTCGGCTATCGCCTCCTTGAATGGAACATTCCATCTTTCACCTAGTGAAAATATTTTTACCATTGGACTCATAAACATTCATTATTTGTATAGTAATAAAGTGGCAGGCCTGATATTCTATTATATCAGTGTAATATGGCAATTAGTTAGCTCCTAATATATCCACGCAATGGTAATTAGGATTAATATATGGCATCATTTAAAACCTCTCCAGTTTCATATATATATATATATATATATATATATATATATATACATATATATATATATATATATATATATATATATATATATATTGTCAAACAATAATAGGGTTTTCGTATATCAAAGAGTGCTCAATACTGTAAAGTAGAGCTATAGTATAATTGTAATAAAGACAGAAAACTAAGGTTGCATAATTACTACAGCGCTGTTTCGAAGGAGCAAGCTCCCTCTCATCAGGTGTATATAAGAATTTATTATTAACAAGCACGCCTTAAATACATCAGAGTCTAATTTACATGATAGATAGAATCTATAAGTTCCTCTTGTATGCCAAGCCTAGAGAAAAAGATCAGCGCCCATAACAAGTTAGTCTTGCAAAAAAACAACCCTACACCAGAAGAGCAAAAAAACTGCAACTGCAGATCCAGAGCTAATTGCCCTTTAAATGGTGAATGCCGAACAAGGAACATAATCTGCAGTTTTTTTGCTCTTCTGGTGTAGGGTTGTTTTTTTGCAAGACTAACTTGTTATGGGCGCTGATCTTTTTCTCTAGGCTTGGCATACAAGAGGAACTTATAGATTCTATCTATCATGTAAATTAGACTCTGATGTATTTAAGGCGTGCTTGTTAATAATAAATTCTTATATACACCTGATGAGAGGGAGCTTGCTCCTTCGAAACAGCGCTGTAGTAATTATGCAACCTTAGTTTTCTGTCTTTACTACAATTATATATATATATATATATACACCCATTTGCAAAAACGTTGGCCGCAGATAGATAGATAGATAGATAGATACTCGAAGTCTAATTAGAATTGCATATGATTACATTTGCATGGGATTTCAATCATTACACAACATATGCAATTCTAATTAGATTTTGACTATCTATCTATATATCTATCTGCGGCCAACGTTTTTGCAAATAGGTGTATATATATATATATATATATATATATATATATATATATATATATATAGACTCTAAACATAAATATATATATATATATATATATATATATATATATATATGTATATATTTATATATATATGTGTATATATATGTATATTTATATATATATATGTATATATATATATATATATATAAATATATGTATATAAATATATATATATATATATATAGATATATATAACACAGGATGAGAAACACGAGTTACTTCATCGAATTTTATTTAGCTACTACAGAGCTGTTTCGTATGACAAGCGTTAAGCTTGCCACACTCATCAGGTAAATAATATGTTATTACAACAGCACAACGGCTATATACAAGAGATGCATAATTAATTAGGTCGTATTACATGTAGTTGGTTACTAGGTGTTACTTAGCAAAAACTTCTTTCGATGCCGGCATGTGGAAACAAGTTCGTTACGCTTGTTCAAAGAGCTTAATTCAGGATGACATATGATGATAAATGATAGGCATAAATTACAGCGTTTAGTTTTATTACAATACGGTTGTGATTTCTTAATGATTTTCCAACTGATAGTGTGCGGTGTATTAGAGTCCTTTAATTTCCAAATGTGTTTGCTTAGCTCGGTGGCGTTTTTCTTTGATTTGTTGCGGAAAGAGCAGGTATGGTTGAGGTAGCGTGTCTTAAATGTGTTCTCAGTAAGGCCAACGTAGGTTTGGGATTCTTTCGTGCTTTCATTCTTCACGGTCGCTTGGTAGACGATAGCTTTTGTTAGGCATTCACCTTGCAGGGGACAGGATTCTTTCGCGCGACAGTTGCAATTCTTTTCTTTGTCGGTAATGTTGTTGGCTTCATTGCGTAGGATTGATTTGTTGTGTGACGAAATGATGTTCTGGACGCTTGGCATACAACTGTGATATATATATATATATTAAATATATATAATATATCTATCTATATATCTATCTGCGGCCAACGTTTTTGCAAACGGGTATATATATATATATATATATATATATATATATATATATATATATATATATATATATATATATATAGACTCTAAACATATTTCTACCTTAATTCTTTTTCTTAGCTACATTGCTGGTTTAAATTCTGGTATTGGGCTTGCTGTTTGACTAGGCGCCTAAGGGGGTAGGGCTGGTTGGGCTGCAGCTGTCAGGCAGGGCACCAATAAAGAGTTTTTTCATTTAGTTTGCTCGCAATAGCTCCGTAAAGTTGGCTATCTTTTGCGCAAAGTTGACTGGTCAGCGGCATGGGCGACCGCAAGGCTTTATAAAAGTTCGATTTACTAGCTTTACGACGAGTTTTTGTAAAAACTAAAAGATGGCCATTCGAGGGAAAGCTTATGAGCTTATCCTTATACTTCTAACCTTCTTCTAGCTTGCGAAACCACGACAGGCAACTTCTGTAAAGTCTAGCCGTCTGATTTCATGCACGCACCCGTGGCATAAATTTAATCCCTTCGCGAAGGCAACTAACCCGGTTACTGCAAATTTTCGTTCTTCCACATAGATTTATTGGTTGCCGTTCGCTTCCGAACAGAATGTTTTAAACAGCTGAGAACGACAACATAATAATCATATCGAAAACATGTCTGTCAGACCGAGTTAGGCCGAGGATTAATCTCCGTCTCACCGCGGTTCGAACTCGCTCTGAGCTCGGTTCAACCGCGATCAGACCGAGGTTTGACCTAGGTTAACTGCAGTTTTTTTAGATTATTTCTGGACAGTACTGTACGGCACATGCAATCTCTTTTGAAACCTCTTATACCTATATATTCCATAGTTTATGGAAAACGGAGCAAAACTCCCCACAAAATGTCACCCCGTTTGACCAAACTATTTAAAATCATGTTTAATTCTTACTTGATGTTAAAAATATTTCGTAGGTTCGAAGGTACCTAATTGCACAAATACAGATCCCCATGGAAGCTGCATTGGTAAGTCAATTCATTCTAAGTCAAATTAGGGAGTTATTTTTCCATCCAGAAAACATCTGAGCTGATTAAAAAACAAGCTGTCAAGCATGATTGATGTGTTATATCTAAAATTCAAAATACACGAATAAATTTCTTTGAAAATAGTTTATTCGAATCTTGAACTTGAATTCAAATGATTTACAATAAACAAATGCAACTTTTACCTATATACATAAAATACTTTTTACATGAGTATAAATCCAACTTCACACACAAATGGTAAATGCTAACAGACATTAATTTTTCATACATGATTGTATTAAATATTCAGGAAGGACATGCAAGTAAATTTTCAATCTAATGTAAAGTTATTTATGCAATTCTGTGTGGCTTCTATGAAAAGATTGAAAGTTATTTTTCAATTTTTGGATGTGAATATTTAATGAAAACTATAAATATTTTGTGCTCTGAAACTATAACATGACACGGATTCAATGTGTCCTAACCTTCCCTTTTACATAAAAAGTTATAGATAACATTTACAATTCTAAAATAATAAAAGTTATTTACAATATTTTGATAAAAAATATTTAAAATATGTATATGGAACCTTTGGTTTGAGATTAAAAAAAAACAAAAAAAACCAACTACAAGAAAAAAACGTCTACTTCATTTGAATAATGGCGTTAGAAATTTCAGCGCCATTTGGATCTATAAACAGTTCATGTTTAGACGTCTTGAACCTCTTAAGTACATGACCGCTGATTTGATGAGATTAAAAGATAGTTTAGCTCTCAGCCGATGAATAGTTGCACTATAAGTTATGTCCTTTCGTTCCGCGAGCTTCTGGGCTAGCTCTGTCATGAATCTGTCAGCTTCCCTGCCAAGTCCACCGTATGGGGAGAAAACAAGAGGGCTAAAGGAACCGTGTTTGTTTCAGTCTGAATTCTCCAACAGATGGATCCAGACGACGATCTATATCTCTGTTGTCTTTCTTCGCTGGCTTCGTTATATATCACACGAGAGTTCTGATAGGTACAGGTGTTGTATGGCACGTTCTACAGTAGGTGGCTTTTACCCACTCGGAGCTTCGCTACACGTACAAATCCGTCGCGTCTGGCAATCAGGTCCTCCACGATACCTAATTTCCACTTGTTTCGGTTGCTTTCCTCGGCTCTGATTATTACCACGTCACCCAAGTTGAACGAAAATCTCTTGTTGTAGTGTTTGAGATTGTGTATTTCTCGCAACTCTCTCACGTACTCGTTCGTCCATTTTTACCATATCATATCCTTGTATTTTCGATGCGCTTCGCGGTCTTTCTCAAATCTTCTACTTCGATATCTCGGTAATCTTGTGTCGGGAGTAGATTTGGTCGATGGAACATCAGGAAATTTGGTGTCAGTATCGTCATGTGTATATCGTCTTCGACATAGCTGAGGGGTCTGTTGTTTAACGCGACTTCGACATCAAGCAAAAGTTCTTGTAACGCATCCCAGGTAAGTACTCCCGCCAGCTTTGTAAAGTTCGCTCTCTACTAGACCAACAATTTTCTCAAACTGTCCACTCCACCATGGTGCTCTACTCGTGTTAAATTGCCATTTAATCTCGTATTTCGCGAGCCAGTCGCGTAGTCATTCATCTCTGATATTTGAGCCAGTTTCCTGCTGCCACAAACGTCTTCCCATCGTCGAAATAGATCTTCTGCAGCCGCCCTCGTCTGCCGATAAGGCGTTTCAAGCTTTATAGGAACTCGTTTGTTTCTTGATTCGGGAGTAGTTCGACGTGAACTGCTTGTGTTAGACTGCACGCGTATAATATTATGTAAGATTTTGCTTCGTGTTTCTTTTTGGTTAGATATTTGAGATTATCTTTTCGGTGAGTAGTTCGTTACTGGGTAGATACACAGGATAATGTCCTGGTATTCTGCCTTCACACTCGTAGAGGCCTTTCGCGTTTTTCTTCAAGTTCAGCCGTTGTTGGGCTTCCTTAAAGGCTTTCGTCTCCTCCTTTCTTTGTTGGACTCTTTTTCCCAAATTTCAACTTGTCGACTCATCTCCTCGGTTGTTAAGGGTCCAACTATCTTGTTTTCACGACTGTTCTTTATGTTGTTCGCGAAACGGCTCATTCTCGCTGTTATTCGGAGCGTTTTCTAGTAATCATGCTTTTGCAGGAGTTGGTTCAAATCGTCTTCAATGGAACTGTCACCGCGAATATCTCTTTTACCGCTGCTTTTGTTTCCGCTTTGTGTCTCACTGGTATCACTACTGGTAGGGATGTTGGGTGGCCATTTTTCATGATCGAGCAACCAGCCGGGGCCTTGCCTCCAAAGACTCTCAGATTGATGTACGTTACCACCTTGTCTACCAAGATTGGCTGGATTATCACCTGATGTCACGTGCCGCCATTCGATGCAGCTCTCTCCTGGATTTTCCTGACACGGTTTCCCACGAACTGTTTGAATTCGCCATTCACACGGATCCAGTGTAGGACTACAGTACTGTCTAGCCATCCCAGACTCGCTGGACTGGAAATTCGTCTAAGAACTCTTTCACAATGTGAACCAGGTTAGTTGCCATTTGCCCTGATACTAATTCGAGTCTCGGTATCGTTCGCCTTTCTTTGCCAGCCGCGACTTTGCTGTGACGAGATCACTGATGACACTGGACGATTGTCGTACGATCGCGTACATGGCTGCGGAGACTCCTATGCCACTCGCATCGCCGAACGCATGCAACTCGATAGATTCGATTGGCTCCTCTGGTTTAGCTAGGCTTCTCGGTACGGTGACTTGGCTTGGTAGGATTTGTTCGTACTTCCACCATCTCTGCTGTATTAGTTATCTTGATCTTTATTCCAAGCAAGACCAAGTAGCTTCGTCCCCCTGTTTTACTCCAAGTTGTTGCTTGGCATACGTCTGATTGTCGTTGTTCGTTGTTGTGTCTTCATACTCGACTTCCTTGGCGTTTAAGTGCCATTTATGCAATTGAAACCCCGCTTCATTGAATTTCTTGATAGCGCGCTGGCATCTGCTTCCGCGATTATCATTACAGGGGATTTCAACCAGTTCAGACACAGTCAACTTTATAAATCCTTTTCCCTAAAACAAATAGTTAGACAAGCAACCAGAGGATCTAATATCCTTTACAAAGTATTTAAAAAAGTGTTGCTGAATTGTATAACACCCCAGAGATCCTTCCACCTATTGGTTTATCCGACCATAATTGTCTATTCCTTAAACCACTAAAGCATCATGTGAGTTCTCGGAGTACTCGTATGGCTAGAGACACGCGATTCTCAAATGGAAAGTTAGTTTTCGAAGCCTTGTCAAGTTCAAATTGGTCACCCTTATATGGCTTAGTCACTTGTAATGACAAGTTCCACTACTTTACCTCAATCCTCAATAACATTGTCGATCAGTACCTCCCACTGAGACGCATAAAATCCGAAAACAGCGACAAGCCTTTGGTTACGCCTAAGATCAAAAAGCTAATATCCAAGCGCAAAGCAACTTGGAACAATAGAAACAATACCTTGTTTCCCTATTATTGAAACAAGGTAAACACGGTTTGTAAGAGTGCTCGTTCAAGATTTTATAAAAGCAATGTTTATGACTGCTACGAATCCAACGGCCAAAGCAAGTACTGCCCGAAAAAATTTCTTTAACTAACGAGAAGTTCGTCTCTGTTGGAAACACACTCCCTTTATTTTAATGGTCACCTATTACTGTCGACAACGTCCCTTCGGATTTTTACATCCCCGTTGAAGAAGTTGAAAGAGCACTAATGTCATTAAAACCGCACTCAGCTGCTGGTCCTGATGATATTCCATCTTGGTTCCTGCGTGAGAATTCTTCCTCCCTATCCAGGCCATTGTCACCCATCTTTAATGCTTCTATTCACGAGGGACGTATCCCACTGTTGTGGAAATCCGCCAACGTGACTCTGGTGCCTAAATCGTCACCCGCTCCCGACATCGATTCCGATTTTAGACCGATCTCACACCCATTGTAAGTAAAGTCCTGGAGTCATTCCCCTATAACTGGCTTTTACGGTTAGTTAGTGGCCTAATCGATGAGCTTCAATATGGCGCGCTTCAAGACAACGCGCGAAAATTTGCTCTAACTATTCCAGCTGGAGGCCTATTAATGCAGGTGTCCCACAGACCACCAAGCTTGGCCCTTCACTCTTCTCTAATTATTGTAAATGACCTGCAAGTGTCTGATCACACTGTCAAATTCGTTGACGATACTACCATTTGGGAAATTATAACCAGGGACAAACAACCTGCCTCCACGTTACCGTCATGAATTAAAGAACCAACTAAAACCAAGGAAGTTCGCATATGCTTTTCGACAAACGACCCCCCCCAACACTCTGATTACTATTGATGGTTGCGATATCTCCATTGTACAGGTTAAATTACCCGGATTAATCATCTCTAACGATATCAAGTGGGCTCCTTATGTCGACTACATCTACAAGAAGACTATAAAACTCGAAAAACCTCGAACAAGTTAGTGCAAGTATGTAACTGTATATGCATTAGACCGATATTGGAGCATTGGGGCGAAGTATGGCATTATAGTTTGCCCCAATACCTAAACGACCAAATTGAAAAGATCCAACGTCGAGCCTTCCGAATAATATACCCAGGTTGCCCCTATGATAAAGCAAGAACCGTGCCGGGGTAACGACGCTTTTTATACGAAGAGCTGTAAGAGATTCTTTGAACGAATGTTTATCGATTCAACACACAAATTGCACTCCATTGTTCCACCAAATTATAATACATCTTACTCTCTTCACAGTGGTAATGATAAACTCTTGATCCCTAAGTGTAGAACTGACAAATTTGCCAACAGTTTTGTAATTGCTGGAAGTGGAGCTTTTAATATTAATTTTGTAAATAGTAAGAGTAAACCATAACAGACACGCTATTCTTATCATGTAGCCTAATTTTAACTATATTTTATTGTATATATAGAGTAACATTTTAATCTTGTTAACCAATGTAATTCA